GGAATACTTATGTCTTTGATATACTGATAACAATTTACAAATAAGTAGAAAAGATTAATGATACAAAAGATGGAAATGAAACTTAAATTAAATTCATTGATTAATTAGTAAGCGAGCTATGTTGTAATAATAAAAATAGTTATGATCAAATAAAATTTATCCCACATCTTTTTGTATCCACTTACAATAAATTATTATTTATTTATCTATTTTTATTATTACTGTTAAAATTGTCATTAATTATGAATTAATTTATTAGTCAAGGATTAATTTATCAATGAAAACGAGCTCAGTATATTTTTAAGGTTTAATTTTTTCTTTATTTTTTTAAGGTATTAATATTAGTTGTGCAAAAAATCTTCCTATACAGCAATGCATAATGAATGGAAATGAAGAAGCAGTGAGTTAATTTTGTTTAAATTATTAATCTTTGAATTCACACAAATACTGTTTAATATCATATGCCGCATTTGTTTAAGTTAATTTGATGTTTAGTTTAATTAATTATAATTGGTGATGAGATATATTTTCACAAATTTTAGCAAATTTGTGACACGGCTAGTTTATAAACTTACTAGTCAGAAAATTGTTTCAATTTGTTGAACCAATTTTTTAATTGCTTAATTTATTTTCCTTATTGAAATCGAAACATTCTCATAGAATCTTTTTTTTTTTTAAAAAAAAATTCGTTTTTACTAGTTTTTTAGCGCAAATAAAATTTACTGTTGCTTATATATTTCAGGTATTACACTTGATTTTAAATGGTTTTGAAGTAAGACGTGTCAAGGATTTACCTAACAATAATTTACACGAACAAGCTTGCAAGGTTTAATTTGCGTAATTTTTTTTCGAAATTTTAAATTTTGCCAAAAGTGCAAAATTGTCACATCAACTAAATCTTTTAAGAAATTCTATTTTTTAGCTTATCATCAAGTTGTCATTTCAATATTTATATTAAATCTTTACACATTATTCTCCCATATTGCTCTGTTTTTAAAGATTTGAGAACAATAAATACTCTTAATATATATATATATATATATATATATATATATATATATATATATATCACATCATATCATATCATCATATTATCATCTTAAAAGTTGTCTTTTCAAAAAAAGCGGTGATTATTCGTTATCATCATATTTACATAAAATATCTCTTTGCAATTTTGAACAAATGTTTCCTGTTTTTCTAATTTTGACAAATAATTTTTATAGATTATGGATTCGATAGAAACTTATTTTGATTGTTTAAATATGAAAATTCAATGCTGGACAATGACATTATTGAAGGAACATAATATGAAATTCACAGATAATACTAATACATTCCCAATATCAAACATTTGTTTATATCGCATTGGTCAAATTGATCGAAACGTATTTAGTTGCATAATTTTTTATAAAATTCTGTTTTTCTTTTATCTTTCTAAACTTTTATCAGTTATTCTTTTTATTATACCAAACAGACTATCAGTGATTATATTTTATCTGCAACACTGCAACAGAATGAATACATTCAATGACCTTTTGATGTTATTTATTTACTTTAAAAGCAAATGAAATAATATTTGGTTTATCCACGAGTTATATCAAAATTTCTGATTTGTTATCTCGTTTCATTTTTTTTCTTTTCTTATTTTTTAAATGAATTGGTTATTATTTTAGATGTGTTTAATTGTTTCATCGAAGGAATTATTATCAGCGACGACATTTTCATCCAAAAAATCCCACGTAATAAATTTTAATGTGAACTGATTGTCTAGTCTGCATGCAAAAATTAACTTAAAATTGATTTATTTCAATGATCAAAAAGATCACAAAAGGATAGTTTAGTTCTTAGAGATGGATCCTTCTTCAAGGTAGCAACCGATACTATCATATTACTATTTCTGTTATTATCATCACTATTATTATTGTTACTATCACTATTACTACAAAGAGTATTTGTAAAATTAACATTGCTAACGATTAGCATTTTGAGATATCGTTGTAATTTTATTAAATGATCATAACAAGCGATGTATTACTTTAGATATTGGTTATGCATTCACTTAGTTTATCATCAGCTGATGGTATCATGGGTATTACTATGCATCAGCGTCATTTACCTGTTCAGTTCCATAAGCATTTAAAGTGAGTATTAACTTTTTATTATCAAATGAGTTAATTTTTTCATTTATATAATAATTTAGTCTTTAAAATGTTTCCTAAAAGATTGCAAATATGCAATTTAATATATTAAAAGAAGTACAAAGTGTTTTCTTTTTTCTTTTTTTCTTTCTTATTTTCTCAGCAAATATTTGTTTACTTAGAATGCTTTTATAAAATTAAAGTTAAAAATATTTAACCAACTTATACCTGCTTTTTTTTTCTTACTGTTTTTTTTTTTTTCTTTTGGAGATTTCATTTTGACAATGAAAACGACGAAATGGATTTGATTTGTGTGTGTCGCAATAATAACAGTTGCATTTATTGGTTCCCACATGGACACAACAACAAAATAGGTAAAAAAATAAGATAATATCTTTACTAATCGCTCTAAATAAATTCATTAGTTTATGTCTCAAAATGGCAAAAATAATTGATTATTCATTTACTTAATTAAATATTTTTCATTTTACAACGGATAAGTTAAAATTGCAATAAATAACTTTGCGTTTTATCAGAATCTAATTAATATATGCTATACAATAATGTCTCAAAAATATTTGGAAAGAAGCAATTATAATTTTAAATGTGTGTAAAAGATATGAAAAATTATATATAGGTACACAAGTACACGTGAAACTATCGTATACTCCAAATGATTATATCAATGAAACGAACGATCTTGTTGTGTTACAAATTTGGGATCTAAAAATTTCTTCAGCACTTCTTCTAGCTGGCAATCATTTAAAAAAATAAGAAAAAAGAAAAAAGATTAAATTAAATGAATAAAAGGCTATTTTGGAGTAGATTCAAAACTAAATTGTTATCGTTTTTACTTCTCAATCTTTTTAACTTTAATTGAAATATTTCTTCAAATACAAATTTTTCTTGTTTTTTCATTTTGTGAATTTTTTTTTTTTAGTTCTGAAATATACATTGTTTCATTGTAAATAACAATTCAGATGATAGTATTATTCAGTTGTTATAAAAATATCTTTCCGATTTTTTCGTATTTTTTATTTTTATTTCAGTATCTATTACTTTGCTAAGGATAATTGAATATTTTTTTTTAAAACCATAATTGAACAATTGTAATCATCATTTTCCTTTTTCCTTCTCTTCCTACTCTTTATATCGCATGAATAATTAATTAAAATCAGTAATTCTAATTATGTGACTAGCTCAGGTAAATTATACAGTAATTATCGCCTTTCTCTTTTAAATTGTTTGAAAAAAAAAATGTCCAATTTGCTAGTATTTATGACTTCCGGGTACTATTGTTATTTGTATGTGATATATGTTTGGTTCGATTTTCTGTATTTAATTTTATGGATAAATGAATGGTACTGGTTAAGTTTTACTTTTCAGTTTTTTCCGTTTCTTCTTTTTTGTCCTATTTGCACATAAATATTTGCTATCCACTCATTTTTTTTGTCATGTTGATTTAAAAAAAAAGTTTCAAATATTATTGTTCATGCAAATTTCTCATCACATTTAAACTTTTAAGACTTAAAGTTGAATTAATATTCTTGAAATTTCTAACCAATGATGGGAATTGAGATCTTACTTTCTCTCTCCCTCCCTTTCCATTTCCTTTGTAGAATATTCCTACACTACTGGAAATAATAGTTCCACATTTTTAAACATTTGTTCACTCAAAGAATCATAAATTAATTAAAATACAGTTTTGTATTCCTTTTATTGGTTTTATCCAAGTATCCGAAAGCAATTTTACTTTTTTTATGGACTATTCAAGCGAATATGAGTTTAGCTTACAGTTACCGAGTTCCTTTTTTCTTTTTTATTCAGAAATATCATAGAAATAGAAAAACAAAAAAAAAAAAAATCGACAAACATCGTGTATACATATATATATGCACAAAATGATGAAGCTCAGTATATTTGTTTTACAATAGCATTTTTTTTTAGAATGGACAATCATTTCCTGAAATTATTAATTCAGTATGAGATGAGACATTAAATTAATCAAAAGCAGTGAAATTACTGATTCCCATGGCTCAAAAAAATTCTACAAATTTATTCAATGATGATATTTGTTGTATCAAGTGGAATATCAATGAAATTCCCAGTGAAATTTGCATATGTTGATAATAAAATAATTTAGAAATTGAAATGATTAGTAGATACATACATTTACCAATCTTCCGTAATAAAATTATTTTGCATTATGATTTTTATAAAGCATAAAAGATTTTCATGAAAGAGCAAAAAAAAGGAAAGAAAAAAGGAAAAATTGAAAGGAATCTATCGAAATTATTAAACAATATAAAAGATTAATCAGTTAATATATCATAATTTAAACAGTTGTTAAAAAAGAGAAGAGAAAAAAATCGGTAAACAAGTACATATACGTTTTTTATATATATGTGTTCTTATTTAGAATAAATTTAAAAAAAAATTGAATATTAGGAAAAAAATAAGCGAAATAAAGGAAAAAAATATCTTAAAAGAGCATGAAATATATTAATTAATTAATTTATATAAAGTACAGGATCACCGTTGAATATTTCCAAATCAATATCTAGTAATGAGTAAGCAGTTGATTTCATTTTTTAGCAGTTAATTTGTGATTGTAAACCCGATAACATTGCGGTACAACGAGAATCATTAGCAAGATGAACATTTCTGGTGTAAGGTTATTACTAAGGTAGCTGCTAATTGAGACTGATTATGTCACCCTCTCATGGGAAAAAAAAAATTAAAAGTAGAAAAAATTAAATTTTAAAAGAAATAAAATACATATTAGAAAAAAGGAATTCAAAATTTGAGGTTTATCGAGATAGTAAAATTGGATATTGTCATAAAATTGTATACGAATGTTTTCTAACAATGGGTAATCGCTTTAGTATTTTTCGATGATAATTGAAGGTCATTGGATGAACTTAACGAATCATAGCTTTCTTCCGATACATAACCATCACGTATAACCTAAATAATCAATGATAAATGGTAAAATAATCGAATGTAAAATTTTGCTTTTGTTTTTTATAATTGTAAACTAAAAAGAATAAAGAGCAATAATAATGATGGTAGGTTATGGTTATATTATATGCATCAAAAAGAAAAAAATGGAACTACAAAAGAAAAGAATCATTAAAATATAGTAAAATTTGTATTGACATTAATAATATATAATATTATTGACTGCGTGAACTTCTTCCTATAACAATTCAATAAAATAATTTCCGATATGGAAATTTCACCAACTTTATATATACTTTATTCTTGAAATCAGACCTTACTAATTATCAGACTTTCAGATGAGAAAGAATATATTTGTAATTTCTAGGAATTATAATGTTTTCAAATTTGAGTACCGTTTCAGGATTGGTATTTTTGGAATCACTAACTGTTTGATTCTGTGCAGCAACACGTCGTTTTAACTCTTCATTCTCCTTCATTAATCGTCGAATTTCACGTTTCTGTTGCTCAATTATTTCCTAAAATGAAGAGATAATTTCCGAATTTAAATTCCATACAACAATTAGTTCCACGATTTTAATTGTCTGAATAATAAATGAAAAAATTTCATCAATTTCGTAGTGCAGAGACTGTGAATCATTTTAATATGCTGTGTCCATTATCATCTATTATATAAATGATAAGACATCATAAGTTTTGCTATCATCATTTAAGCAATTATCATGTTTGTGATTTCTTGAAATTGCAAAAAATAATAAAATAGAAGGCAATAAGCTTATACTAAAGAGCATATATATGGTTATTTTTCGTAAATTTCATTTAATCCATTTATTTAAAAGAGTGGTATGTGAATTAGTTAAGAGTTAGCAGAATAATCAAAAAATTTTACCTGTTGGCTGAATGTATGTGACTCTTTTCTTGTCCATTGCTTCATACCACTGAAAAAAGGAAGACATTAAATCAAACAAACCAACAAACAAAAACAAAAAAAAATCAATTGAGCAATAATTAATAATATTAAAATTGCAAAATTATAACAGAAATAAAAGGCAGAAAGCTTGAATAAATAGCACATATATTACTGTTGTTAAATGTTGTACAAAAAGTTAATCTTTTATTGTAAAGTAATAAAATAAGCATTTAAATTTTGTAAATTTTTTAGGTACGAATGAGTGATTAATTTATATCTTTGATACTTTTAAAAGACATAACCTTCAATTAATACATAAATGTAAGTAATTATTTGCATGAGAAAATTTTTCTAATGATCCTAATCATTTTAACAATTGAAACTATTACCCCTCTAAATGATTCTAACCATTGGAACAGATAAAACTACTCTTTGCCTAATGAATTTGACCATTCAAAGAAATAAATTAATTCTCTCCGAATGATTTTGACCATTAGAGCAAACGAAAACACTTCATTCCTAATAAATCTAACCAATGGAATAAATGAAACTAAATTCTTTTTTGAATGATTCTGACCATTAGAGCAAACCGAAACTACTTCATTCTTAATGAATCCGAATGGAATAAATGAAACTAAATTCTTTTCTGAATGATTTTGATACTGAAGCAAATGTTAATTACAGGTGTCAAATACACAAACGATTTACTCAATGACATCTAGGAAGTTAGTGAAAATATTACTATATATAGGTGACAAAATAAATTTAAATTTAATAATGAAATGATTAATTGAAATTTAGTAAAAAAAAAAACCTTGTTCGTTCTTCGGTAAAACACCATTTTGTACCACATTCTTTCACAGTATTATTATCATCACAGTCGTTATCATTACTTTCATTATCATTATTACCATCATCGTTTTCCTCTTTCTTCTTCTTCTTACTATTATTATTATTGTTACAGTTAGCATAATCAGAAGATCTTGCTTGTAAAGTTAATCGTGCCTCATTACCGCCATCATTACCTATATCAATTAACGTTGGTTTCAAGATAGCTCCATTGCCCATAGCAGCTGCATTACGCGAAGAACAATGAGGATTAGTTCTGCAAAAAGGACGGAAATAAAAAATGTTGAAATTTAGCATTACATATAAATTAGCATGTAATTTTCTCACTGAAAAAAGACTTTAATCAAGATAACAAATTTCATAAAATAATAAATGCTTTGAAAAAAAAAAATTAAAAAAACCGCTAAATCTAAAAAAATTTGAACTATAAAAAAGAGAAGTATGAATGAATACTATTATTATTATTACCTCGGTAATGAACATTTTGGTACATCATAAATAATACTATTATCATCCATTATTTGTAAATGTGATGGATGTGCGGAAGTCTTATACATTGTAGATGGAGCGGAACGTATGCAACGTCGATCATCATCAACTAATAGTTTATCAGAATTTCCGGATGATGATGATGTTGACGGATTGCATTCATGACCATTAAATATCGGATTGGATGGTTGCAATGTTGAATGATAAGTGGGATGATTGTTTTGTTTTGTTGAACGTTCCACTGGACTGCTACTATTCGATGAACTCAAACTGTTGAAAAAATTGATAATCAAATAATTATGTTAATAATTATTAGCTATGAAATACAAAAGAAGATAAATGAAAATTCATAAATTCCTTGATGTTATTTAAAAAAAATTTTCATTACCTGCTACTATGATTCTGACTTTGATATCCACTAGATGAGGGTGCAACAATAGTATCCGGACATGTAACTGTTGTTTGTTCACGATCTGTTGATACAGCGGTCCGTCGTTTATTTTTACGCGGTGGACGTGTATGACGAAAACGTGTTATTGAAGATTCATGCGTTGTTTCATCTGAATCAGTTTCTTCATTTCGACGATAACCACCAGTTGAATAGTCGGATAAAATATTCGATGATATGTAAGTACTATTTTCAGGTGCTACTGACTTACTGCTAGCATCAAATGCAATAATTCTTTCACGATTTGATGAAATATCTGGTAATGCCATATATGGATTCCTAAAATTCATTTATGTAATGCAAATGTTTGAGCAAAGGACAACAAGTATCTCCTCATAAGTTATCATTTGATAGTCCTTTATCATATCACATAAATATTATTAGTTAAATGTGGATGGTTATGAAATTATACTGTAAATAGGAAGAATTCTTCTTTAGGTGTAAAATTTCAAGTATGTTTCAAAGTAACAAGCTAATTTTATTCGATAAAAAACTGTGGTAATTTAAATTAGAATTATTTTTTTATATCTGCTCTGTAAATCTAATAATGTTAAAATATTCGAGAATTTATATGATTTCATTATATAGTATTGTTTGCCAATAGCAAACGATTACAAAGCAACAATAAACGCAATATCAAGTAAAGAATTATTCCTATTCTTGATAAAACAGCCATAATGTGAAGGAAAGCTTACTACCATACAGTAAGCCTTATCATCAGCAACCATTACGATAGCTGTAAAATTTTCAACAATAAGATAAAATAGAGAAGAACCTTTTGTTATGTCGTTCACAAGAAGCATTCTCATTCAAATATCGTTGATTACGATGATGTCCATTCCGATGTTTTTGTACGGTTAAACCGGCTTGTCGTACTGCCAAACTATCATTTAATAAAGCAATATCTAACACATAATCATCATTTGTGTTTAAATGAGTTGCTGGAGATCCTTTTGTTATCACATGTGATTCGCTTACTGTATTACGGATGTGTGTTGGAAGTTTCGCATTATTATTATATGCATGTAATCTAAAAATTAACTATCAAAATTTGAATTCAAATAATGAAAGTTTGAATAGTAATACCATTAGTGGTAATAATACTAAATTAAATTAATGAAAATGACAAGAAAATCACAAAAAATGTTAAACATTCATAAAATAAATGTTTAATTTATGAAATATTCATTCATAAAAACATTCATAAAATAAATGTTTAATTTATGAAATAAATGTTTAATATGCTAAAGAAGAATTTGAAATTATATTATTAATTAATTTCAAATAATTTTCCAAGTTTTGTTTTATTACCTTGAAACGTTTGTATTATCATAATCAGATGGTGAACTTTCAACTGTTAATAATTCATAATCTTTACAACCATCATTTCTCATTCGTATATAGCGTAATTTTGCTAAAATGAATCGCAATTCTGCCATCTGTGATCCATATTTAGCTGCTTGTTCATGAATCTAAACAGAAAATAAAATCACAAAATATAATCAAAAATTAGTCACTATGATATCGGGCAAATTTTGACTAAATTTCATTGTAATATCGGTATATCTCATAGAAATATCTAACAATCGAAAATTTTTGTTTTTTATCTATTTAAAATAAGTATGGTACCAAAATCTGAATCAAATATTGTTTCATGAGTCAAAAATTCATGAAATATCGTCGCAATGACCATAGCTTCATATATTATGCCAAAATTAAAAAGATGAAAATTCATTGATTTAATGTTAATTATAAACAAACAAAGAAAATGAAAAATTTTAATTTTGGAAAAAAAAAAAAAGAGAATTAATATTAAGAGAGGTACCTCAGGTGTCCACAGCTCATCTAAGTAGGAATACAGCAATGATACTTCTTTCCCAATATCAACCGATATATTCCAGTCATTTTCACCCGAATTTCGTTGAATATTTGCTGGTAATGTTGAAATTTTCATCAGATATCGATGCATATTATCCCATTCATGTTCTACGAATTCGTTCATAAAATCCATATAGTGCTCTTTGCCACCAAATTTTGTAAAATTCGCTAATGTTTGTAGTGTTTTAGCGATCAGTGTAAGATTACGAGCTGCGTGTCCCGAAGGATATTCAGAAATCTAGAAAAAAGCAAAAAAAAAAAAAAAAAAGAATACAGAATAAAAAAATCATTTTTAAGTAATTTTTCTTATTTTAAAATTCAGAAAATAGCAATACTAAATAGTGATATCAATTTAAGTAAAACTGAAAACGAAAGAAAAAAGGAGGACAGAAAAAATCCTTTAAAAAAAATTTGATGGTATTTGAAATCAAAGAAGTTACTTTCATTTTCACAGCAGTTTTGAAGTTGAAGTACTAGTTGATAAACAAAAAGCTAGCTCAAAAGCTTGAATAAGAATAATCAGAAAGTAAAGAAAGCTTAGAAACATTGATTAACGTAAAGGTTACTCTAAGGAATTTTCAAAAGTAATAATAGTAATGTTTAGGTATTAAAAAATTTGATTAAAAATTTCAAAAAAATAAAAATTTATTGGAAAAAAAAACTCGAAGACTTTGCTTACTAAATTAAATAAACTAGGACTAAGTATTGCTGGACAAAGAAATCGCAGGAAAATGCTAGATGAAATTAGCGTATCAGCAAGATCAAGTCGACCAATTTTTTCCAAACGTCGTCGTAGGGTAACAAAAATTTCGCGTAATTCAATTGGAAATATTTCAGCACTGAAATATTTTAATTAAAAATTGTATAGATACATCGTTTTCTTTTTTTTTTTTTTTTTTTCTTAACAATAATACACCATTTAATTAAATTTTTCTAATTTCCATCACAAGTTTCAACAAACTGAAATTTAAGATTTAATAATAAGTGAAATGCATTTTTGAAAAGCAAAAAAAGTAGGTTTTTAGCATACAATAAGGAAGGAATGAAATTTTCATATGTTATAAAATGTTTTTTCTTCTAAATTTTCAAAATGTCTTTTCTATTATTTAACTTTCAGCATAATTTTTAGTAAATAGTTGCATGTTTGAATAAGTAACAATGAAGGATAAGAATATTTTGAAAGTAACTGAAAGAAAAAAAAAAAAAGAAAATGGAAACAAAATCCCCAAAATTTAATTCAATCTTAATTTGTTTAAATTAGAAATAAAACAAACGTAAAAAGAAACAAATTCAACCTTGCCAATATTTTAGACCATGCAGTTTTAACATTTGTCACCAATTGATGACGATTCTTTTCCAACGCTATCACACTAATATTTGCCATTTTCAATGGATCTACTTCACAGTCCTTATCAAATTGTTGCATTGCTTTAACAAATTCGCCAAGTGTATTCTAAAAGTTGTCACGAAAATGTCATCTTTCATGTGTTTACGATTGTTTACGATTATTCTATCGAGTAATTATGTTATATAGATTTATATTTTGTTATATCTTAATATTATTGAATATGTATTTAATATCATATATCACTGCAATGCACTTGAAATGCCCTTCAAATTAAGTTACATCTACTTAGTATATCACAATTATTTGTTTAATAAGTTTATTATTTTTCCTTGCTACTACTGAAAAAAAATTTTTTTTTTTGCAAAAATTGATGGAAAACTTATTGTATAAATGTTAATTTTTCATTAATTACCTTGCATTTACTTCATTAAGGAATAAATGACAACCATTTAAGTCCTAATTGAAATGAAATATGATGACATCAATTAAAGATGACATTAACTAAAAACTTTTTGCTCGTCATAAAATTGCATTTATGAAGAAGGAAGGAATTGAATTACTTGAAGATAATCATCTGCAACCAATTTCATATATGCTTCCATTGCTTTCGTTGCTAATGAATTGCCACGGAACATCAAATGTTCATTATCTGCAATTAACAATGTTTCAAATTCATAACTGAAATTTTAAAATGTTCCGTAAGGATATGAGAAATCATCAAGCATTAATACTTACTATTGCATACTATCTTACATAAATTTTATTTACGCTCAAATGCTGAATAAAAAGATGATGATGAAATTCCAATTCCTTATCTGTAAAATTAAATCATTATCAAATAATTTATATTATGTAAAATTTAATCAACAGTAAATTAAAAAAGAAGCGAAAAACAATTCTTTAATTAATTTAACAATTTGACATCAATCATTCTTTTCTTTTTTCCTGAAAGAAAAAAAAAAAGTTGAACGAATAACAGCAAAAATACATGGGTTAACATTCTCATCTGTACCAGAATTGTATTCAGAACAAAAAAGAAAGTTATGTTTGAGAAAGAACTGCACAAAATGTAAAATAATGCGAAATTAAATTATTGATTAAAAAAGGATATGTTTATGAGAGAGTGAAAATTAAATAACAAATAAAGCATACCGAGAACATCAACTTCAGACATAATTAAATCGCATAAGAAATGTTTGGCCATATGTAATTTATGCATGATACGTACAAGTACCGTAGCCAAATCTTCTTTTGCTTTTACACTTAATGCCGGCTCCAAAACACGACATACTGATAAATAATACTGTCTAAAAAAAATTCAATAAAAAATTATAATTTAAAATATAATTATCATTTGAGAGTGAAATTATCAAAGAAAAAAATATTTGAATTTAATAAATAATATATGAAAGACCAACTCAAGTTTCATATATTATTTAAAAAAAGAAAGAAATGTTACAGTTGCAGTCCTATCAGTTTATATTTAAAACTTTTATTTATTAAGATAACATTTCCTATAAATTTCTTTTATTCATTTAATGCTGTCTAAATGTTGATTTTTGCTGTTTCCCTTTTGTATTATTAATATATATAAATTATTATTTTCACAATTGGTAAAAAGTGGAAAAATTACTAGAACTGAATTGGAATATAATATTTTCATCCATATCTATTTATTTTTCTACATAGGAAATTCTTTGCTTGATTGATTAAATAATAAAGAGATTTTCGAAAATTATGAATGAGGTAAACTTTGGAATGGAGTGAAAAAATTATATCCTCTTTCTGAATGCTACAACTTCGTCAATTTTAAATAATTTTTTCCTCAAAAAATGAAAAATAACTAACTTGATGAAAGTCAATAAATCAGTATATGCCTGCATAGGTAATATTTGTACCGATTGATAACGGGCCTTAATACGTACCGCAGCTACCTCGCCATTACCTTTATCTTTCATTGCATTCGATAATTTAGTACCATCTGATGTTGCTGTTACTGTATACCTATAAAATTAATTCCTTATCATTTATCATTTTTATTTCATTTAAAAGTTTTAAAAAAGAATTTTATTCTTTATTATTTTTATTTCATTTAAAAAATTTGTGAAAAAGAACTGTATTAAGACAATATACTCTATTTTATAAAATTTAAATATATCGAATTTCAAAAATGTCAACAAAACTTTTAATTTTTATTTTTATTGAGAACAAGAAAAAAAAAACCTCTGATCATTATGGAATTTCAGTAAAAGATAAAATTCGTTTTAATTAATTATGCTGATCTATCATGAAAATTTTTCATGAAATATTTATTCTTAAAGAAACAAAAAAAGAGATCAAATATAAAAAAATTTCTTGCCAAGTATTAGATTAAAAGCAACACCAAATTATCACAAATGTCTGTAAATACTTTTAAAATTGTGAAATTATGCATCTATTTTAAGTTAAAGTATGAACATGACTTTAATCTTATAAAAATTATTAAACTAATTGAAAATGAAAGGAGGAAAAGATAACGATAAATGGAAACATTCAAAATTAGTGAATGAATTTACCAATTGATTGATTAAATAATTTATTAATTAGAGTCTAAAAAATTAATAAAGTCTAACCGATAATATGTCCCGAAAATGCTTCGTAATTTAAAGCAACTTTTATCAAATTTAACATTACATAAAGGTCGAATAAAATGATAACGGTCCAACCATGATGTCGACTGTGCGCAATCCTTTGTGACACTATTCAGTATCATCACTTTTATGATTATGCCAAAAAAAAAAAGAAAAGAAATTTTTGATAAATTAAATAGGAAATTATTAGGCAGTGATTTTACAGCAACACATAAACGAATCTAAAATTTAATATCGAATCACAAATTAAGAAGCAAATCGTTAAATTTTTGCTTTTAATTACAATGTATAAATTTAAAAAAAAAAAAAAAAAATGAGAATAGAAAAGAGTTCATGTATTATTTTGGTTAAAATTTATGCAAAAGATTTTATTAAATTTTAAGTATGAAAAAAATCTAGTAATTTTAATCTGACTAAATTGATGAATTTTTATTCAAATTTTTTTCACAAGTCAAAAAAAGGAAAAATACATCACAATGAATGGATTAAAATTTGTCAAAATTTTTAAATTTCTTGAAATTTACCAAAAGATTTTTAGAAAGAAAAAACGGAATTATTAAACTTTTGTAGAAAAAGGTAGGGAAGGAGTAATGTAAGATAAATACAGTGGCATTTTTAACAATTTGTGATGATTTATTTAATTTCAAATTTTAAAATTCCAATAGAAATCAAAAAGAAAATAATACCATGTGCTACTATTCTGGAAAAATTTTCATTAACAGTAAAAAAAAAAATAATCAAAAACTAAAGTAAGAATGGAAAATTATAGATTGTATTATAATTGCTCATTTATCTTTTTTCTTTTTCTAACTTCACAACTTTCATCCTTAGTAAATAGTAAAAACAATAAAAAAAAAAAAAACAATCAATTAAAATTAATTACTTCAAAACTAAAGAAATGAATTCATTCTCAGTTTTTTATGACGATTATTACACGTATGACGTATTATTAATTTCATAATTGCGCTTCTTAACCCACGTTACTTACTCAATTTTCAAAATTTTTTACATAAATCACAGTGACAATAATAATAATAATAATATGTTAACTAAGATTATCAACCAAAATTTTATAAAAGAAATAAATGGAAAAATTAATTAATTGATAAGTAAATGAAATTTAAGTGGAGTGAGAAGGAACTCAAGACGGTAGAAAGGAATGTTAGAATAAGTTAACAAATATATGGGTCTGTAAGTAAACAAACAAACAGGCGAAAAATAAACAAACAAACATGTAAACAATAAATACAAGACTCAAACAAAAGCAACAAACTTAGGTGAAAAGAATAAGTAAAAGTATCAGCAATAATAAACTATTTTAAATTTTTTATTAAATTATTCGAAAACAAATTCAACTACAGATATTTAAGCTATCTGTCAAAGTAATTTATGAAAAGCATAAATAAATAAAAAAATTAATCAATCAATTAATTAATCGATCGTTAAGCAAAACTTAAAATAAATTTGATAAGGAATAAAAAAATTTTAATTTTCAATGTTTACTATGAATTAGCATATGATTTGAAAATGCGAAAGAGGAAGAAAGGTTAAAACTTAGACTGATGTGATGTGCATAATATGAAGTTAAAATTGATCGACCTTGAAACTAATCATTTGTTGATTAATATGGAGGTCAACGCTAATGATGACAATCATCCTACCATACCACTATTATCAAATGTATGGAAAGTTTTTTTTTTTCCTTCCTACTACTTGGTACCTACTAGCACCTATTTGTCACCTTTCCTTTCTTCACCCTGTTTTTTGAATATCAATTTGTCATCCATTATGACAAATTCACAAATCATCACCTACTTTCTTCTCTCATCATTTTTTCTTTTGTTTGACCTTCAGATTAAATCAAATTTGCTAATATAATTAATTGCCAGATTTTGCCCAGCTAATAAAAATTTTCATTCATTTAAAAAAGTTCTTAATCAAAATTTAGATATTAATTTTACTAAAAGTTACATCTTACTGTAATATTACAACAAACTTCTACTGTAGGAATTACAGCGTAGCAATTAATTGTAGATATCATTTTTAGAGGCAAAGAAAAAATGCACGGCAATTATTTAATTTCCAATTGAAAATTTTCATTATTTGAATTAGGAAAAGGATGAATGACGAGAATTAAAAATAGAAGCATTGTTAATATTTAAATAAAACTATATAATCTAAATAAATTTTTAAATAAAACTAAAAATTCAAATGAAAATATATAATTTAAATAAAACCATACAATTTCATTTAATTATACATGGAATCTAAAAAAAATTCCTGGAGAAAAAATATGTTTTAATAATAAAATGTAAATATATGTAATTAATGATAATTAGAATGATAATAATAATTAGAATAAGAATAGCAATGGTAAATCCTAAATATGACTGCTGTGTATATTTCAAATAAATCTACGAGAATATTTTTGTAAGAGATATGAATTTTACGGAAAATTTGTTCAATGAACCAAAAAAAATTATTATATTGCTTCCGGAAAAAGACTAATTAGTGAATTCTGGAAATAAATTTTACTTGCAAAAATGGAGAAAAAATTTATGCTTAAAATGATTACATTAAAATGTAAATATGTACTTAATAAAAAAAGAAAACAAGCTAAAAGAAAAAAAATGACAAAAAGAAGTATCAAAAAAAATTACAAAAGATTAATTAATTGATTAATAGCATTTGTGTTATAATTTTTGTTAATTAAAAAATGCTTTCTTGAAAAAAAAAGGGTGGTTTGCTTAGTTTAAATTTCAAAAATGGCTCACTCAAAAAACCATAATTCGTTTGAAAAGGAAAGGTGAAAAAAAAAGAAAAAAGTAGTTCAAACAAATGAGCAGTGTCATAACTTCTTTTTTTTTGAAAAAGAATATAAAAAAAAATTATTTCAAGTACATCACATTGAAATTTTAACATATTTATTCTCACCCACACTCATTGCTATTCAAATTATCAAAAATTATCATTCAATTCTTCTATTCATATTGTTTCTTCTTTTCAACTACTTTTTTGTGAAACTTTTTATTTTCTTTTCAGTAATCATTCTGCCTTAATTCATTTTTTATTCTTTAAATTTAGGATGCAAATTTTTTTTAAAAAAAAAAGGAAAAACCAGATTTTTTACATCAAAAATAAAATTGTTGTTTCATCTTTACAATCACTGTTCCATCTTTATAACTTTTTATTATCCTATTTTCTAATTTTAAATTCAACATTAAGTATAAAATGTTATTCGACTTTCTGAAAACTTAATGTCATAATATATAAATCATTTTTTAATTAGCAAGAAATTAAGGAATCATTCCCAAATACTACTTATATTATCAAATAAAAATTAGCTATGAAATGATAAGTGATAATTAAGTACAGACAGCTTAAATTATCTGGCAACTAATGAATAAACAGAAAAATTAAATTTACCGTAGCTTACTGATTACAAGTACAAAAACTATTACTATTTACTAATGAGACGATTTTAATTATCGTTATCAGTTATGAGCTAGAAAATAATCATAAAACATTTAGGCTCGCTCTACCATTACCACTTTTTTTTATTAAGCATTCCGCAGTATTATAATTATACGTCGGAAAAAGCTAAGCGTTCATGTCTTAAGCAATTCATATGATATTATGAGCTTAAATTATGTTTTTTAATATACCACCTCGATTAATTAAAAATTTATGAAAAGTATCTCCTAATAGTTTTGAAAATTTTTCAAAGGATTCAATTGATAAGGAAGCAGTCGTGAAAAAAAAAGTATAAAAAAACTTGATCTATCAAAAACAGATTGGCTAATCTGAAAGAGCAAAAGTTAAACTCAATTCTATGCCAATGTAAAATTAGGTGCTATTTTATTTATCAATCTAACAATCAATTATGAAAGATTGTTTAATTGGTAAACATTTATTTAACTGCGAAAAGATGTAAATTTGTTGAACAGTTAAAACTAAATTAATTATTCATAATGGAATAAATTTTTGTGGCAAAAAAAGGTCATAGAATTTATTAGAGGAAGGTATTTGTACATTTTAATAAATAAACAAATCTATGTTGAATAGATAAGTCTGGTAATCTTAAAAAAATTTTTTCAAGTTTTCAATATTCATCTAATGAATACCAGTAATAATATTCAACAAATAAAAGTATCCAACAAAATAAAACTCCTAGCATAAAAAGAAAAGAAAAAACTAAGATTACGACTTTATTAAAAACCTATCAAAAATTTACGAACAATCTAAAAAAGAAAACAAATAAAAGAGGAAATATTTGAAGTGAAATAATAATAATAATAAAATAATACAACTTAAATGAATTAAATTTCGATTGTTAATCACGAATGGAATAATTGATTGGTAAATGAAAGGAAAAAAAAACAATGTCACCAACGAGATAAATTATAATTGGTACTCAGTGAATGGATGATAAATTAACATCAATACAAAGTGAAATTGAAAAAAAATATGGATAATTCTGAAAGAAAAAAAAAAAAAAAATTGAATTGGGTCAAATTATAGTATGAACGAACAGAATTGGCTAAATTATACTATTGCAGTTCATGACCAAACATGTATTCAACAAAAAAAAGCCCTTTTTTGATTTTTTAAAATTTAAATTCGTAAAATCTCTTTTTTTAATGCTTACTAAATCCTCTGATGACCTATAATTTATGCTACAATTATTAATTCCAAGCATATGGTTGAAATACTAATGCCATAAATAATACCAATTATTACTGTACCTTTCAATAATCTCAAAATTTGGAGTTTTTTTTAATGAAAAAACCAAATTTCGCCATTCCATTCATTTATCAAAAAGTTTTTGGAAATAATTCTCATTTAATAATTATATTTTTCAATAAATTTCACATTTGATCGTTTTTTAAAATAATTCTATATTTGGTACTGCAAAGTTATTAAATTTTTTTTGGAATGATATTTGGTAAAAATTTTGAAATTTAGTGTTGGATAAAATTTCTAAGCAAAACATTAAAGTTAAAAAAGCTTGAAAAATTATCAAAAATAAATGTTAAAGAATTTCAACCTAACATTACTGGTGATAACTGAAAAAGATTTTTCATTTAAAAATTTTTGGAAAATATTCGATAACGTTTCATTAGAAAACATTTGAAATTTATTGATAAATAAAATTTTCTAAACAAAATGCTCAAATTCTTAGCTTATTTAAGTTTTATCAACCATTCTGATACTTATATTTACAATAAAAATATCTATGCTTTAAAATAGTATCATTGATATTCTTCAATGAAAACTATAAATAGTCAAAATTAATAAAGAATTTACAAATCTCGACACAACGTTAATATGATTATCCGGTGAACAAATTAGTGCAGCTCATTTCTGGATGTAATTCAGATTTTACAATATATTAATTTTTCAAACAACAATATTTTTTCGTTTAATTCATTTCCTGGTTAAATAATTAATAATTTGTGTTGACATTTTAAATAAATCAAAAGTACAAAAGTACAGAGAAAATAAAAACACAGGAAAACTAGGTCAAAATCAATAGTTATAAACCTACTAATGGAACGAATTAGCAAAGAAAAAAGAGAATTAAAATTTTTAAAAAGTTATAAAATCTCATTCATTTTAGACATTGTATTTCAAAAATTCAGTTGTACTAATATACATGAAAAATAGAAAAGAAAAGAATTTTTTGAGGTTCTATTTAAAGACAAAAAAAAACTTTAGCATCTGTAATTCCAAAACTAAATAAGTTGAAAAAATTATTGTATTATTGTTAACTCTAAAATATTTCCAATGATTCTTCTAATTGCAAAAAAAAAAGAAAAATTTTTATTAAAAGAGTAGAGAAAAAAAAGATACTTCACTAGACAAATATCAAATATTTATTAATTTAAACATATTATCAAACCAAACAACTTTGAAAATGTTATCAAATTAACTAAAATGATTTCGGAAAAAAATTCCAAGAATTCTTCATGAAAGGTAAGATGTATAATCTAAAATTGTTCAGGAGTTTTTTCCATTGAAAAAGTTATTTTTAAGAAGAAGAAAGTTTAACTATTATTATTATTATTATTATTATTATTATTATTATTATGCTTTGATAAGAGAGAGAGGGAGGAAAATGAAGAAATAAACAAACCATCGTTCAACGGGATGTCGCGTAGTAAGTTGATCAATCTTAATTTGAACATAACCAATCAACGTTGAACGATCCTTCTTCTTTTTCGCATCTGCTTCACGATATAAATTGATGCAAACATTTTCCAATTTTGGAATCGGACTAGAAATATTGATAATTATAAGGAATTTATCAGAAATTACTATTGTATTTTTAATATGTCAAGACTAACTGAAAGTTAAAATAATTATTCCCTTTATTTTCATATGCTGAAAAAATAATTCAAATTATTTTTTAGGTATACAATATATCCGCTTAATAATAGTTTTAGGATGCACACTAGAAAGATGTTTAAATAAGAAATATTTATTAATTTAAGATAGTAAAATAAATTTACAATTAGAAAAATAATATGTAAAAGTTATCATCATTTATTTACATTATTTATTATTTCTTAAAAAATATTGTTAAACGTTTCAAATATTAATGAAAAAAAAAAGAAATAATCGTTTAAATTTCATATTTTAACAATAACAGCAGCAAAAATTGATATTAAAAAATACAAGTTGAAAACTTGTTAAAATTATAACAAAATATGAAAAAGAAATAAAAGTGAAAATAGACCTGAAATAGAAATGTTCGCCCCAAAAGCAAATATCACCACGTGGTTTTGCTGACGTTCGAGCGTATAATGTCTTATCGAGACATATTTCACAGTAGTATTTTCGTTTGATCGGAATACCTTTAGCTTCCAAAATCCATAATTCCAATGAATTTTCTGTTCGATGCATTCGATCACGTAACGGATTTTCTGTACGTCGTATACTGAAAATGTAAGTATTGAACAAATTAAAAAATAAAATGAAATAAAGACTGACTTGAATCTTGAATAATATAAATGAGTTAATCATAACAATATGATAAAAATGTTGTAACTTATACGATTTTAAATGAGAAAACCGATCAATGTTTCGCGATAAAAATATAAATCCGCGAAAAATGTTCAGAAAATTTAGAAAGAAAATATTTGCAAATGATCGTTTCATTAATTCATTTGAAAAGAAAAAAGGATGTGCTACTTGATGAGAACAGATAAGTTCAAAATATATCAAAAAAAAATGACTTCTATATTATCCGATATAAACTCATATGTATTTTTTTTTTTTGAAATAAAATTTCAAATCCATTCAATGAAATAATTCCGCTTTAAATCAAATGCATTTTTTTAAAAAAAGATCGAAAAAAAATGCAATATGATAAAATTCAGAAAATTTTGAATAAATCAAATGCAAAAATTATTGAAAAAATATTTAAACACAATTTTGAAAAAAAAAAAAAAGAAACCAAAATCATTTGCTGTAATCATTTAGAAATGCTCATTTATTTGAATCGTTTTTGCGAAAAAATTGGTAAAGTATTAAATTTTTAAGAAAGAGGCCAATGATACCAAACTGGTCAAATTTTCTCAAATTTAAATCCCTTCCTTCCATTTATTAAGAAGCCATCTATAAAATCCTTCCATTAAAAAATTACCGACAATTAGAGTAAATTTTATGAATATTATTAAACTTCCCAAAAGTCGTTTTAAGAGGAAACTTGTAATTAATTTGATGAATAACTAAAAAACAAATATAATCAATAAATGGATAAACTGAGTAACCGATGATTATACGTAATTAAATAGAATTAGATTTCTTCCAAATGGAGTTAAATTATTTAAATAGAATTAAATTAATAACTGAACGAAATAGAATAAAGAAGTGGAATAAATGAATAAAACAGGATGTAACTAAAACGCAGAAATGATAAAAATATGAAATATTTATATTATAAAGTCATCAAATGAAATATTATAATAATTTCTCAAATCTTACAACTCAAGCTTAACAACTGATAAACCTCATTTTATAGTTAACTTTTAAATAGAATTCATTATAGAATATCTTATCACCATATAAAATTATTATTTTGCCAGGTAATTTTAGAATAGGATAGAACGTTTGCTAAATATTAGCTCAAATAAATTTGTCACAACTGATATAAATGAAGAAATATGCAAAATGGAATAATTTTTCCGCTATTGGTGCATTACAAATTGTTAAAAACTGGCATTTTATGATATGCTATACCGGATAACTTATACTAATACACATCAGTAAATTATTCGCTTCTACGCTAACATGCAAATCAAATTTTCAGAGAAAAAAATGAATAAAAAGAACTAATGTAAACAAAAACAATGCGAGAAAAACATCTATCATTGTTATTGGCTTTTGTGTATCAGCATCGACAAAAGAAAAGAAATTAATTGAATTTTTAAATTTTCTTAAAATAAAAGGAGAATAGGACATGTGAATTTCTAAATTTTCATAAAATCAGAAGAAATGAGGAAAATCTAAGTATGGAAAGGAAGGAAATCTTAAACGATATGCATAATTTCAATGAATTTAATAAAAGAAAAGAGGGGAAAGATACTCGCGCTTTGTAGGTATTTGTATATTTTAACAAAATTAGGTTAACAAGAATTAACGGGAATATTTGAGAGTATTACGCACGATACATTCGAGGATGACAAATAGAAGAGGAGGATAAGAGAGGTACTTTTGTTAAGTATCATATCAAGATACCGTATACCTAAGAATATTACCCAATACAGTAATAGAACAAACATCGCATGAATTAAAAAATATCTATTGAAAATCTTTATTTTCGATATCATTTCTGCAAGAAATAGAAATCCTTTCGGAACATTTCATTTCTCCTTTTTTTTTTTTTTTTTTTACCTCTAGAAATGCTTGTTCCCGCGATTTATATTTATAGAAATTCATGCTAAATAAATTACCACAGAATAAAATCTCCTTCAGAATTTACTTTCAACTTAAAATTTCAATCATATTGTTAAATCTTTATAGAATTGCCTACAATTATCAAAAGGAAAAAAATTGACTACTAAATAAGAAGTTGAAATTAGCAGAAACATTAATTGCATAAATCTCAATCGAAAATTTCATTCGATATCGATAAAATAAAGATATAAAATTTATAAGTATTACAAGTCGAAAAATTCAGATGAAAATGAAATATAGCTAATAACAATAGGGCTACCCTAATGATATGAAATGAATTGATTCGGAAAAGGACAAAGGGAAGAAAAAAAAGAGGAAAAATTCATTTTATATCACAACAATATTATTCAAAAATAATTAGACCTGCAAAAAAAAAAAAAAAAAACAAGAAATTAAAAAAAGGAAAACGAATAATTCTATATTAATTTTAATAAATGAATAAAATAAATAAATCCCACGCATGCGGAGAAAAATTAAGAAAATTAAATATTATTATTTAAAAAAGAAAAACGAAATAATTTCTTTTTGTGTTTTTCTTTATAATGTATTTTCTAATTTCCTTTTTTCTCAATCAATTCTCCAAGTTATCATCAAATTTTAAAGATAAATAAATTGGAAGTAATAATAGCAACAGTCATAATAATAAGTAAAGAAAGCGGCAGTAAAAAAAGTAAGAGAAAACGTTTTATAGGTAAGAATTATTAAGTTTAGCATAATATTGCAGAATTATCATCGAGTAAATGATAAGTAAGTAATACTTTCAAAAAGCATGAGTGGAAATTTGTTTCAAAAGAAAATGCACAATTACAATCACTATCATTATCTTAATGACAATGATAGTGAGGAAATCAGCTTAAAAACCATAATTGAGCGATTTTGTTAACATTTTCATAAGGAATAAATGTAAAGTTATCCTGAATCATTGTCGGGATCAGCAACATTACTGATACTGAGCTATTATCATTATCATTATCACCAGTAGTTATCATTGTCATTACTATTAAGAGCATAAATAGATTCCGAAATGATGGTTGAGCTGACTAACAAACATTTTCATAAAGCATAAATGAAAATCACGATGTCACCAATTATTTGTATAAATAAATTTCGAAAATCATAGTTCATAACTGACCATTACATTGACAGATTTTGCTCTTGTATCATTCGATGCAATTATTTGGTTACACTAATAATGAATTGAAAGATTTAATAAAATCGTAAATATCAGCTTTGGAATTTTCACAAATCGGTCATTTTCAAGGGTAAATATTTTAGAAATTTACAAAATTTCTACTGTTAATTTTATTAGAATGAATGGAAAAAATTTATTTAACATTGAAGATCACCAAAAAACAAGAAAAATAAATCAATATAAAATAAAATTCACAAATAATTCCCTTATCGATTAATTTACAAATAATTTCTTTATCGACAGAAAAAGAAATTTCCTACTAAATTGCTTCATCGTTATATGTTAAAATTTTTACACCTATATCAAATTTAACTTGGATGCTATTTCGATCCACCATACATTAAACATAAATGAAATAAATTCTTAAACAGAATTAAAATTTACAAAATCTATATTCCCTTCTCGTTCACCACTTGTCTAAATTAATATAATTTCTCTTGCAAGAAAAAGAAAGAATAAATTTTTTTTTTTTTTTTTGCACACACACACAAAAAAAAAAAAAATATAAACATAAAATAGTTTGAAAGACACTAAAAGTTCACACTTTATCAATCATTCCAGTCATTCAATTTAACTTTTTATCAAATCAATAAATTTAACACAACACTCTTTTTCCTTCTTTACAGAAATTACGTAACGAGCAATATTGTAGGGCAAATAAATTCGCCACATGTAATTTATTTCTATAACATTTAATGACCTTTGATGGCCTTTTCAAAATTTTTAAAAGATGAATAAGTAACGGTAATGAAATTCGCAATTATTTTATCCCTCATTTTAAATTAATTCATAGAATTAAATAAACCAAAATGTATTGGTGCTATACTTTTAGGCTTTTTTTCATTTACTTTTTTATTGTTTAATTAATTGCTCATCTTTTTCATTCCATTTATTATTAAATTTGCAAATTTATTATGCAAGGAAGAGTAAAAACTAATCGAAATAATGATTTTCACAAATCTTTTAATCTACAAAAAAAAAAAAAAAAAAAAAATTATTTCCTGATAGAGAATAGAAACATTTTCAATCAAATGTCTGAAATGTTACAAAGCTTAAAAAATCAAATGTTTTCAAGAAAAAAGACGGATGCATAAATAAATGATAATTTCCATTACGTTCATTAGTGTTTTACAGTCTAATTATGCTAATTATGCAATGGATAACATCTGTTAAACGAGCGCATCTTAAAATAACTAATTTATTTGTTAGAAGCGCTGGTGCATTCAAAAATTAATTATGTATCATTGGGATCGATCGGCCAACAATGCATACTTTTTTTTCTCACTGACTTAAAAAAGAATACAAATCTTATTATCTAATAGCAAATAAAATTAACAAAATCTATTCTAAGTTAAACTGATATTTTGAATTGAAACACGTCATTTTACCATCGAATTAAATATTTGCTAATCTGAATAGGCATACAACAAACATTATTCAATGAGGTATTTACTTATCTGAATCACTTATACATATATAAATTATTGTATTAAAAAATATTTTCATATTTATAAATATAGTTAATACAAATAAAAATTTATTTAAATATAAAAAATTTGCCATGCTATAAATTACACTTTGCAATGAATCTATGTTAGCTAATTCATTCTTGTTATTTTTTTCTTTCTTTTTTTTTTTTTTTTTACATTTAAGATACTTTTTTTCACTTCATGCTTTATCATACATTCGAAGATTTTTCTCTTTTTCAAGTTTTTTCTTACTTGCACTAAGGATATCAAAATATTTAGTAATTTGAATGCATATTGAAACACATTATTGGTGTATCATTTTAAATATTTATAAATGTATGCATGATAGTAGTAATAATAATTTTATAACAATAATTACAAGTTATAACAATAATTTTGCTTTTTTTAAAAGAATCAGTTTATATTTGTTTATTATTTAATTAATCAAAATTACCAATTAAAACTTTTCTATTATTTCAATTTCCTTTTTTTCCTTGAAAGAAGAAATGATAACCATAAATTAAAAGAAGAAAGGTATTAATTAGGAATTATAAACAAAAAATTATTTGAAAAAATAAATGTCAAATTGTCGTAAGTAAGTCGATATGTGGCTGACGAAAACAATGATAAATGAATTTTAATGATTAATTGAGACGATAAATAAAACATGCATATATATATATGCTAGTAAGTACAAGAATAAACATATTCAAATTTAATTTTGTCCAACGAGATTTTTCATTACGTTAATTTCGTTTAGATATTGCAAAATTTTCGATTTCTAAAATTATCAAAAATTGAACACATTAAAAATTAAAAATTCGTAACAAATAAATAAAAGATAGTTAGTTAAATTGTAAATTTACCCTTTATTAAAAATTGGATTTGTCGAAAAGGAACGACAAAAGTTATAGAGAAAAAAGAAAACTAATGAATAGAATTTGTTTGTAATAATTAGTAATAATGAGTAGGCAGAAAAGCAAAAAAAAAAAAAGGCAGTAAGAGGTAGAAAGCGAGAAATACACTGATAACTGATAAGCTCTATTCATGCTATTAATAAAAAAGAATGATAAAGATAAAATGAAAGGAAAATTATGAATTTCATTTTCTTTTTTCGTTTTGTTAATCTCGATAATAAATTATCCTTTAATTTTATTTAAATTAAAAAAGAAAGAAGAAAATTAAATGCATGATTAGAATATCAAAAAAAAAAAAAAAAAAGAAGCTAGAAAGACGAATTATTGAAAAGAAAGACGGCAATGCTGAGATTGAAATTTGAGAGGATGAAAGAATATAAAACAAGTTTTTCTACCAATATGTAAAATAAGCGTAGTTAAAAAAAAAAAGAAAGCAAAAAAGGAGGGAGAAAGAAATGAAATTTCAATCTACCGATGAAATTGTTGCCAAATTAATGAAATTTAAACATCACTTTTTTCTCTTACTTTTTGATCATTTGTAAAATTCACGCAATCAAAATTTTATCCCTGAAATTAATTTTAGAATATTTGAAGGATTAAAAGAATTAAGAGTAAAAATAGTCATATTTCATCTAATTTTAATGCTTATGTTAAAATGGACAAATTATCTACCCAAGAGCATCATTACTAAGAATTGACCATATATCAAAAGCTATCGGTCATTTTATAAGTCACAATTAGACCATATTGGTCATCTCATCTCGCTATAACAAACCATTGGTCACTTTACAAGCTATAACAAATCACTAGTTAATTCACGCGACATATTTATATGACAATCATAATTCTTAAAAAGATATCACGCTCTTCTAGTTGTAACTCATTTAAATTTGTTCTTTTCAATTTCATTACCATTTTCTAACCAGTTGGATTGGTAAAATTTAAAATTGGCTGATTCATTTAACTGATATTAATAAATATTACAGCATATAATCAACTATATTGGAGAAAAAAAAAAAAAGAAACTGAATTGGAGAAAAAAAAGAAACTGAATTCAAAATTTAAGAACTGAAATGTCTTATATAGGGATTTATCGAGTAATCATAGAGGTATTATTATTAATGTTAATATTATTTTCGTCCCAAAAGTATTATAAACATAAAGAACCCCTTTTAAAATCGAGTAGAAATATTTTGATTGAATATCTAGAATATATGCAGAATTTATACACACATTGATAACTTACTTAAAAATCTTAAATTATAGAGTAATAAGTGAGTTATGAAAGAAATAAACAGTAGTGAATGTATATTTATGAAAGGAAAATAAATTATAACTAATAATTTATTTCCTCTTTCGTATTATAAATCAAATTGTAAAGATTTCAGATTAAGCTATTGTATGAGTAAATCGAAAATTGATTTCGGATTAGAAGGATGACCTTTGAAGATAAGAGAAGAATAAAATATTTTCGATGCAAATTAAATTATGTATGTATATATATTATTTCACTGGTACTTTCACAACACTGTCAAACAAAATGAAATTTCATTGCGTTTGAAGGAGACATTTCGGGAGCATATATGATAATGGAGTAATAGTAGAATTTAATTAAAATCATGAAATAATTGATTAAAAATTAAATTGGATAGTGGTTTAAAAAAGGAAAAAAGCACATGTTTTACTATACACTAATATATTTTAAAGTTTTCATTTTATTTAACTAAAAAGGAAAAGAAAATTTTGTTAAAATAAAATTTCAGAGGAAATATTAGAAATCTAAATTTCGATGAATCAATTTTTAAACAAAATATTTATTTGCCAATGGAAAAATACTACAATTTACAAATTCAAAAGTGAGAAGATTATAAAAGTTAATTTTCCTTTTTGCTACATATAATTGTAATTTAGCAAAAAAAAAAAAACTCTCAATTCCATATTAAATCTTAAAATTTAAATCTTTTACACAAACACTCCTTCATTGCGCTTTCTGAAACCTTCTACTCCTCTTAAAAAATAAAAATCTGAAAATAAAATGAGTTTTTGGTCACAAATGATGCCAGATGGCAGATGTGAAGAAATGATGGAGACAAAATTGATACATTTTGAAAGATGATGAAAAGTCTGATAACAACGCACGTAATGAAAAATTGAAAGAAAAGTGACAGACTGAAATTTAAAATTTGAAAATGTTAAAAACCTAAAAGATTTCTATCAGTATCAAAAAAAGATGTTGAGTGATTTTTTTTTTTTTTTTGAGGCATAGGTGAGCAATAATTAAGAAGTGTAAAAATTTATACAACCTTGGCAGTAGAGTAAGAAGAAAAGTAAGCAATAGCATTGGAGGAGCAAATGAGAGAAGTTCTAAAAATGAAATTGAATTATTGAATTGTGGAGAGATGTGATGTGGTACCAATGATGATGCGTAAACAATCATTCTCGTAGCATCATTATCATCATCAGCCATTATTGTTGTGAACACTTTAAATGTTTGCATATGACAAAAGATGAAGAAACGGGAAATGGTTTGGTATGATAATTGTAAAGAGAGAGAGAGAGAGAGAAAGAGGTAAGAGTGGGATGGTATGGTTCATCTAATATACAGTCTAAGAAACAAACAAATAAACAACAACAATAACAAATAAAGTTATAAATACAATGACAACAACAACAACACAATGTCATTGAAATGATCGACCATTTGAGAGGGAAAACAGAAGAAGAAGGAAACTATTTGAGTGCATGGTGGTTGCGGTCACTGTGGTCAACAGTGGTCAGCACTGAATGGTTTAGTAGCCATGCAATTCGTCAATATGAAATGTTGTCTCAAACTGCATGTGAGAATGGAAAAGTATGAAAAAGAAAATATGAAGCTGTTATAAATTAGGAGAAATTTTAGAATTTTAGATTTTTGAAAATCTAAAAATCGAAATTAATATTTCGGCATAATATGGAATCTGCTGTAAGAGAAAAAATTAATTTGTAATTTCATGATCAACCCAAACGTTTTCTGTCATAAAGAGAGACAGATAAATAGAATAAGAGAGAAAAAGGTCAAGAAGAGAAGAAAGAGTTCACAAAGAAGAGATGAAATATGAAAGAGTAATAATTTGCAATATGTTAAAATACACAAAGCTATAAAAATAGCCGAAATACTTTTTAAACCACAAATTCATTCTTTCGCTATCTCTCTTTTTCTCATCTTTTCTTTCTTTCTTTGGAAACCTTAAATTGAATAGAAAATAAAATTGGATCGAAAAAAGAGGGAAATGACCTCTGAATGGCAATAAAAATTTTTTGAAAATGTGATAGTTTTTTTCCCTTTATTTCTTTTCCTCCCGCTTCCTCTCTCTCTCCCACACGATCCTTTTTTTGGAAACAGAAAAAAATAGAAGATGGATTGGTTTATCGAATGAAATGTATTAATTAAAATTGGATTTATGGTAATCAAATCTTAAAAATGAATGCTAGAATAATTTTTAAATAATTTTTTTTTTTCCAAAAAAAAATAATTTCAGTTTTTTGAGTATTAACAATATTTCGTGTGCTTTTTTTGATTTTTTAATCCAATATATTAATTTGTTTCCAGTGATTTTTGAAATTTCCGAATTGGACATAAATCTACTGCATAAGAAGCCATAATGAAATAAAATGCATTTGTAAGCGAAAAAAAAAAATTAGTTGAAGCATTAAAATATATTTGCAAAAGAAGTTATTGAATAAATTTGAAGATTTTCGGTTTAACAGAATTGATTTAAACTGAAATATTGACCATATATATAACATATTGTTGCAAACATTGATATATATATAATAGTTGCAATTGAAACATTGATAACATATTATTAATTATTTTATTATGGGTTTGCATTTTACTATCGTTCCATCATCAGTTCAAATTCCAGTTCTAGTAAGCTAAGAATGAGGAAAAATTAGAATTTTGATCTAAATAAAGACAAGGAAGGAGATATTAGAGAACAGAAGAATTTAAAGGAATTAATTAAGATTCTGAATCTTGCATAAAATTTCCGAATACATCGTTAAGCTATTATACACTTAACTATTTCTATTTCTTTTTCATTGAATAAATATTTGAAAAATCATTCAATTTCATATGTTATTAAAGTTGAAATCTTATTCCACCTAGAAATGTAGTGGTAAAGAAAAATATAATTAGAAATAGTTGAAAAAAATAACTAAACTGATAATAGAAATAGTTAAAAAAAAACCAACTTCTCAATCCATCTATTCCGCTCACGTGAATTGCGACAACTGTAATAGGTATTTTGTAATTCAAAATAGTTTGATACGTCAACAGCTGATGGATGGATGGAATGAATCTGTGCTTCTGCTCCATCTAAATTTTAATTTCTTTCAGAAAAAAGGAGAAAAGGTTCAGAATCCGAAAAAAATGATTGCTTTTAGATTTTCCTGTAATCAAATTTGTATCCCTTTTCTTTACTTTTCTTTCTTTTTCTCTCAAAAATATGAACAAAATCTGTGGTCATTTTATTTGCATATCGAAATAAGTATGATCTGAATTCTTGAAATTGAAAAAAATCAAAAAAAAAAACTGCATAATTTAACGTAAAAGTTAAAGTTAATCGGGACACTTTCAGATTTTATATTATAAAGAGAAAAAGTTGAGGAAAAAAACAAATGTAGCATTCAAATAAAAAGTCAAAATATTTACTCTATGAGTGCCAGCAAGGATTTCGGATATTTCCGAAATTGATATCATAGATGAAAAAAGAAATATGATGACAAACCTAAATCAATTGTATGTGTAGCAGACGAATAAGCTAATAAACTTTCATGTGAACGACTTGGGCGAAATGAATTTTCATCTTCTTGAGATATCGGATACGGTCGAAATGTTGAATGACGATAGGACTGAACTGGTAATCGCTCATCATTGCATGCATTTTCATCGGTGCTAAAATTTTAAAATATTTTAAATTGCAAAAATAAAAATCAAGCATTATAACTTAAAGGATATTTAAAAGGAATTATGGGAAAAAAAAAACGGTGAAGTTTTTCTTTTGTTTGTTTTTTCAAATATTCAAGCACTCGATTCATTCAAAAAAAAAAAAAAAAAACATATATAAGAAGATACCTTTCAGTATTTAAATTACTAGGAATTGTTATTTTGGCAGATTGAAATTGTTGCATATTAATTGTTGATGATGATGATAATGAACAATGACAATGATATGATAATGATGAACGATGTTTAGTGAGAAGAGATAATGACGATGAACGGATTGTTTTCCTTGTATTATAATATCCACAAATTGTATTAGAAATAAATCCCATTTCCGTTTTGGGATTTATAAATTTCAGTCTTCTATTTTGGTTTGTCACAAATATCTTAAAAAAATTTTTGAAGGAAAAAAAATCGTTTTATTAGTGTATCATTTACGAAGTAACAGAAATTTTTTTAGAAAAAAATCGGAATGAAAAATATCATAATAATTTTGAAGATCAAAAAAGATGTAAATTAGACAAAGCGCAGGTTCCGGAAACTATTTTGTGACCCAAAGAAAACAGTACTATAAAGAGCCAAAAAAGCGACTAGGAAGCTGAGGAATGGAATGAAATGGAATTTTCTGGTTTTTTCTAGATATCGGTTAATATTTAGCTAATTTGTGCTAAAATATAGCTGACAGATCATCTTAACAGTTTTATGCCAAGGATACCACTTCATGATAACCAAGGATATCGTTTCATGATGGAGACATGGTAATAGCCCGGAAAATCTTCTAAGAAACCGTTCTAGAACATAATAGAGCAGTCCGGCAAGATCTACTGGTGGGATGTGCTATTTCAAGATGGGACAAAGCCACGAAAGGTAACCAGGTGAAATGGTTTCAAGACAGGACAGTAATCCGGTTAGCCGTTTGGGAAGTACTGCTTGACCAAAGAATGAGCTAGGAGGCAGGTTAGGGAATGGAGTTCTAAGACAGGGTAGCAAACCGGAAGACTCCAGCGGAAATGTCATTTGAAAATAACGCAGTGAACTGAAAAGCTTCAATGTGAAAATAGTTCAAGATAGGATAGTAGTCCAGAAAGCTAGATAGGGAAAGCCTTTTGAAGAAGAATAGTAAACCAGCCGGGATATAACAATTTCAAGATAATATAGTGAACCGGAAAACTCCAACAGAAATATCATTTGAAGACGGGACAACAACCCAAAAGCTTCTAAAACAATCCGGAATAGAATTTGATAACAATTAAAACGAAAACAGACTTAATTAATATCATATAGGACAGTCATTCGATTGACGGCAATATATCAGCGATGAAATTGCATCTACACTGATGAACAATGATATTGTGAGCAGCGAATAATTTGAATGATCGTAAAGGGCGGGGAAAAAAGATGGGTTAAAGGTAGAGATGAAATCTTAAGAAAACATTAATGGGAATTTTAGAAGCAGGGAAAAATTAAATGGGAAAGAGGAGAAAGATGAAGAAGGAAGTAAAACGACAAATTAAGCAAAACATACAAATTTTAGTTAGATATAGTTATAATAATAGGAAGTTTGATAATGATAGTGATAAGAATGTGCAATTAAAATTGAATGCAGCTATTGAAAAGGAAGGTAAAATGACAATAGAAGTGATAATGATAAGAATTTTGAATGAAAATTTAATATATGATTAGTTCATATTATATTTATTTGGTTAATGTTAGTAGTAAATTAATAAAAATAAAAAATCACAAATATATTATAAGATATTTTGGAAATATATAATTCTTGAAATGATATAAAATTTTAAATAGAAAAAGAACAAAGAAAAGAAATGGAAAAATTTACAATTGCTAAAAAATTGCAATTACTATTTACATTTTAAATAAAATGGCTTCATCCCACTCATTGAAAAAATTGTAAATAGATTTTTTTTTTCGCAATATTTTAAAATTTAAACAAAAAAAATAATTAATTAATCATTGAGTAATAAGGAAAAATTTAACATTATTTTCTTGAAATATTGTTTAAATTTATAAATTTATATCCTTATGCATAAGGAAAGAAAATTAATTGCAGGTTAAGGAAAATGAAAATTAATTGTAAATTAATCATAAAAAAATCATAAAAAAATCGACACAATCATAAAAAATTTTACACTTTGATGCAGCTACAATTAATTAGAATGGTAGCACAAATTTTTAATAAAATTTTAAATTTTCCTTCCAATATTTACAACAAATTCTGTCCGATACAACATTTGACAATTTACTTCATCCACTCATTTTGCAAGCTGTATTCGACTAAACTTATTTTTCTCTACTTGTCACATACCGGTTATAGAAACCGGATCTGTCTTTCTGTACTTTTAATTAACTTTTAGCTACGCAAACCAAACTTTTGAAGCATTTGAAAAACATAAATTATTCCGAATCAAATAATGTTTGCCATGCAATAATTTATTCCCGTCAAAAATTAACACAAATCAATAATAGTTCGTTTTAAAGATTACTGTTCACTAAAATGAAATTATCACTTAAAGGTTATCTTGTCAACTCATAATAATAAAGACGATAATTGATAATTTTGATTTTTATTTAATCATAAATATTTATTGGTCTTTAATAATCAGTAGCAGTAATATTACAATTAATAATAATAATAATAATAACAATAATAAAATAATATTATAGTAATAATAATTAGTAATAGAAAGAACGATAATAATAACAATAATATTAATAATAATAATAACTGCTAAACTTAACAGGCTTTTCTTAATTAAGACCATTAGTTTTCACAAATTACTGTTAAATTGTAGCATAAAATTAGCAAAATGATAATTATCATAGTATTTATCACAACAATTATCAAAAAAGAGAAGAAATGAAATCATTTCAAAAAAAATAAATAAATAAAAGGAAAAGACAATGAGGAAGAAAAAATATTTGGATTCGTCGATTATTTCAATAGTAACAAAGATGAAAGGAGACAATATATTATATATTAATAGAATTGTAAAAAATTGAAAAAAAAAGGACAGGGAATGTGATAAAAATTATTAAATAGTTAATGATGCAAATGAAATTTCGTCATTAGGAAGAATAAATTAGCATTAACAAAAATAGTTAACAGATAGTTTTGTTTACAGTTTAAAAATTTTTCAAGATCTAATTTAAGTAAACAAGATAAGCTTTAAATTAAAAGCAAACAAAACATCGTCAAGCTCTTACTTAAACCAATAAATTATATTTGAAGAGGAAAGCAAAGAGAAAGAAGAGGAAAAGTTAAAAATTTTATAAAGTTCGGCTATTAGTAAATAGAAATAGCAAAAAAATTCTGAGTTAGCTAATATAAATAGCAAATGGATTGTGTGGCAATTTTAATTAAAATTATTTCACAGAAAATTTTGTGAAGCAATCATAAATTTTTATTTTTTTAATTTAAGCAATTCTAAAATATTAAATAGTCCTTTAGCAATTTGGAAATGCAGTCCTGATTTATGCATTCAAAAGTTTGCATAAATTACATTTCTAATAATATTTTAGAAAATTGATAAGGAAAACTTTAATGGATAGACATTAAAAAAAGTTAGAAATAAATAAATTAGTGCATATAAAGGAATAAAATTATTTCAAAAACGTCGCAAAAAATTTGTTTAACGATGAATATTTTCCTTCGAAAAAATGATATTGAATAATGAATTTGTTTTCATTGAACTATTTCATTAGAAAAAAAAAAGAACTGAAACGAAAGTCTGTTTTATACATTCATTTTGTAATAAATAATTTTTTGTTTATTTCAATACTAATTTGACAAATAATTCAAATAACACATTAGTAAATACTTTTAAATAGTAAAAAAAAAAAAAAAATGTTTTTGAAATTGGCAAAGTGAATGAAAAAATTATAATATTTTAAAAGTTTTGAAAAAGTTAAAAGAATAAAAATCGAAAAGTTTTATTAGTAAGAAAGTTGTTTATTCTCTTTCTTTCTGCCAAAAAATAAATTTCAATTTATGAAATAGATTTTTACCTATAAAAAAAGAAAAAATAGTTCAATAAAACATCGCAAAAAAATATTACGTATTGTTAGAAGTTAGAATTTACATGTATTCACTGATAACAATTTATCAAATAATTATGGATCACTTTGTTATGGTTAAAACAGTATGCAAAAAATATTCATCAATTAGTACATTTCTTTTTCACTTAAATTATGCCTTTTTTAAATGTTGAAAAAAAGTTTTTTAAATAATCGAATGCTTGAAAAATCAGTTGTTGCATAAATTAAAAAATAAGTTAGAAATTTTGCAAAAATTAATGAATTAATTAAAAACTTACAAATCATTTCGATTTGTTGCACGCTTTCTTTCCAATTTTGTTGCACTTTTCGTGCGGTTCAATGCATTACTTCGAAATGGCCTCGAAAAGAAATTCTAAAATAAAATTGAAATAAAGTAGTAATATATTTTTCTATTATTGTTATATGTGTAAGCGAATAAATAAAGCTGAAATTCAATAGACAACTTAAAGCTTAAAATTTATAAAAATAACAGAATGAAACTAAATTTTGATAAAATTTTTATCAAAATTTTTAAACGATTATTTTAAAATAGCAAATAAACTGTTTGATGAAACTGTCGAAATTAAGAATGTTGTAAATGATAAGTTAGAAATATTGTATTAAATACATTATGAAAAAATTATTATGCCGGATTTTCAAATCAGAATGATTGTCAACCATATTTTGGGATGAAAAAAAGTTAAATATTGATAACCGAATTTTGTTATGGCAAAGTTTAATGTTGCTAACCGCATTTTTATTAAGAAGCCTACAAGGCATACGATCATTCCCTCTTCAGAGACTTAATTAATCTTGGTTTGAAAAAGAAATATTAACTGAATGATTCAATGATTAATATATAACATTTATGTTTGGCCTTTTCATGCATTTTTCTTTTTCTGATTCAATTGATTATTCAGTCAGCTTTGATTAATTTTTTTATATTATAAAATAATTTAAAAAAGAAACCAAAGAACATGTAATTATTAATTAGAACTATCATAATATTATTAAACATTATTTTATTTCAAAACTTGCACCCTTAAAAAAGAAAGGATGGTAATTAAAAATTTTTCGAAAATTTGCGAGAAATTTTCAATGGTTAAATGCTAAAAGCAACATTTAATTAAGAAATGAAATATGTTTCCAAATGATTTTCACTGATAATTTATGCTTGGCGTAGTAAAGAAAATGCCACTATTACACAAAATTTACGATTTCAATTTGGAAAACTATTATAACGATGCAAGATTGATTCATCCACTTCAACAACTTTTCATTCGTTAAGTGATGAAATTGACATGACAATGCTATCCATCAAATCATTCCAGAAAATCTTTTCAACGATGATATTGTGTAGTGATCAGCTATATCAAAAAATAACAATTCAGATGAGAAATAAATAAACAAATAAATACATGAATAAAAAAAAGAAAGAAAGAAGAAGAGCGGATGAAATAATTTAAACTTTGTTAACCAAATCAATGCGATGCGATTTTATCATTATGGTAGTGACATTTAAAAATATGCAAGCTTTCTAATAGTCGAAATATGCAAATTTTATGATAGTCGAGTGTACAAATTTCGTATTAATTAAAAAATGCAAATTTCGCATTAGTTAAAACATGACTTCTGTATTAGCCAAAATTCACGAATTTCACATTTGCTTAAAGTATGTGAATTTCGTATTTCGAAATGTCCGATAATTTGTGGAAAAATAAAATTTTGAATCGATCAGAACATCTTCATATCATATATTCATATTAATCAAAATATTCAAATTATGCATTAATTGAAATGCGCGAACTCCAAATTAATGAAATTGTGCAAATTTTGTATTTGATATTTCTTTTAAAAATAAAAAGATGGAATATTTGTAAATAATTTTTTTTTTTTTTTTTCTACAAGTAACCATCTTTATTTTGCAGCACAAAAAATCACTTTTTTAAATTCAAAAAAAATATTTTCGTTAAAATTTTCATTTTATTCATATCAACAAGAAAAACCAAACGTGATGTGCCTTTTACTGTTTGTATCAGTGCCTATCCGATATAAATAATAATAGGAATATTGATACTATCTCACTATTTCTCTGCGCATCTTTCTATCGTTCCTTCAGTTTCATATGTATCTTTTCAAACTGTTTTTTTTTTTTTTGAAAGTGAACTTTTATTTTTTTTAAATTTCATCAAACAAGAAAAACTGTTTTGTTTTTATTCAACAAAGAAATCAAATATTGGATAATAAAATGGGCAAATTAAACAATAGAAATTTCAAAAGTTCCTAAATCGAATGTTTTTGAAAAATGAAATTATATAATAAAGCTAGTAGATAAGCAAATTTTTAATTAATTTCATTTTTTTTTTTCAGTTCATTTTCTTCAATTTCGAAAATTCGTCAATTTTGAGATTTTTTTACCAAACGATTAATCTGATAAATTATTAGTGACGAATTAGAAAACTGATTATGAACAAACTTAATAGCGAAATGGACGATGAAATTAAGCATTTATTCATACAGTCGAAATTTAAGCAATTTCTGATTAAGGCTTGGTATGAGGAGAAAAAAGTATAAAAAAATTTGAAATAATAAGCAATTTACTAAAAAAAAAAAAAATGAACATTCATAAGTATTAAGCATTTTGATTTTTATAATTTTTATTTCAAATTATACATACCGCTAGACGTTGTGGTGTTGTTGGCTCATCAACGATCGCTATACCTTGTCCTTCCTAAAAAAAAAAAGCAATGAAAAAAATTAAATTAAAACATAAGTTAAAAAAAGTTCTTTTATTTAGAAATTCACTTACTTTTCGACAAATTTATATAATTTAAAAAATAAGCAAATAAGCACTCCAAAACTATTTAATATTCTATCACAATTTGCTTCTTTATTCGAATTATTACTACTATGCAATTTTGAATAACTCTATTTTGATTAAGTAAGATAGTATTTGTAATTTCTTTTCCCTCTTTATTTGCTAAATCAATTCATTAAAAAAATTATTTAATAAAGAATATAAGTTTACTGTCGAAATAAGATGATAAATATAAAGAAATTTAAAATTGATAAATTTGATTTAAATGATAAACTAAAGTTTAGAACAATCCATACATAAGACATTTGACAGACAAAAGTCATAGTAAAAAAAAGATGATCAAATAAGTGAAAACTTAAGCAAAAATTAGTTCTCTTATTACTTATTCATTCGATTATATCAATGATTAAATTGTAATTAATTAATAATTGATCAATTTTTTATTATCTAATTTTCATAAACTTACTGAAAGCAAAAGTGGTAGCTTAATTCCTGCAATGGTTGAACTTCGATGAAGCATCTCTTTTTTTCCTTTTTTTTTTCCAAAATGAATGGATGATAAAATTTTCCTTTTTTATTTCCGCTTCTTTCTTTATTTTATTTTTTTTTTTTTTGCACTCTTTTTTCCTTCCACTGATCATAAAAATTTTAAATAAAATTAAAAATTTTTCATAAAGTATATATGCGTACGCATATATACTTTATGAAATTAAAAAAAAAAAAAAAAAAAAAAAACGATGAAAATACGAAATGGCAATAGTTGGAGAGGAATGCACGAACAAATTTTGTAAGAAACTAACTGATCAGAAGAAAAAAGCACCTCCTTCTTGCAAAATTGCAAAAACTGCTTTTTTCTTTCTTTTTCTTTTTGCAAAACCACTTGCTTTTCTTTTTTTTTTACAAATTAATTTTTCCTCCCTGCTATGTCAATTATGTTACTTATTGCTTACTACTATTCGTTGCATACTAACTAAACTAACAAACTAATTAACTAATTAACTAAATAACTAACTAACCAGTTAACCAAAATAACCAACTAACTAACATACTAGTTAACTAAACAAACCAAATTAAACTAAACTAGACTATCTACCACTACTACTACCACTGCTGTTATTATTACTACTCCAACTTGTTGTGTTGTTATAAGCAACAGAAGAGTGTGAAGGAAATTTGATTGTGAAAGAAATTTGATTTAGAAACAATACTAATACTAATAATATTATTAGTGCATTAAATTTAAGCTTTCTAATGTAAATTAATGTTAATCAATTAGTGAATGAATAAATGAAATATTACGATTAGATTACATTTGATGAAATAAAAACTTTAAGTGTAATACGCAAAATATATTTAAATTTCACTCCTTCTCATTCTTATTTACAAAATATTTATTGTTTATCCTTTCTCTATCAATCATCATTTCATATTTTTAAAATTTACTAATCCTTTAAATATTGCAAAAAAAAAAAAAAATAACACAGAGACGGAAGAAAAACAACAAATATGAATTTTTTCATTTGCTTATCTTTTTTTTTTTGCTTTCTATTTTAATGCAATAGAAATGCATTGAAAGTATTTTTAAAATATTATAACTAAATGCAAAAACTAAAAAAGCAATTTCTTTTTGTGAAATTGAAAGTTTAAAAATTTCACAAACAATATTTCGTTTTGACAAGTATTTGTAACAAAAAAATGAAGTATTTTTCTTTGAAATACTACAAATTATAATAAGGATATTTCAATAAAATAAAAAACACACAATGTAAACAAAAAGAAGCAAACAAATAAATCAAGAAGTAAACATAAGAAAATAGCAAAATAACAAATGAACAAGTAAATAAACAAAAGATTTTTTATCATCAAACGAAAAGTAAGTTATAGATGCTAAATAGCTTTCATTTTATATTTATTATCACTGCATTGATTGAAAATCGATTGATGCTAAAATAACTTGTCAGTTGATCCAATTTCAATATATTACTTTCATAATAAAAGCATTAGAGCTAGCAAATCTTAAGTTTTCTTCGTCGACTGATCACTTTTTTTGGTCAGTGATGCTGAACTATTTTTTGGTCATTTTCTTGTTTTTTCAAAATGGCTAAATCTTTTTGCTGAATTTATATTTTTATTCAACATTTCTAATTTAGTCAACAAGTTTACATTTCAAACTTCTATGCTCCACAAATACCGCATGCACTTTTTAATTAGGTCTAATTTTTTTCCCTTTTAAATCAGTTTTTTTTTTTTTTTCATTCCTATAGATAGAGGAAGAAATTAGGTAAGAATAGGTAAAAAAAGAGAAGAAAAGGAACTTATTAACTTAATAAATAACTCAACAAACAAGAGAATGAAAAGAAATTGATAAATTATTGAAAACAAAAAGGGAGAAATTATAGCTTCAAAAAATACTTTTGAAAAAAAGCATGCAAAAAATCATCTAATTTCGTTGCAATTCTAGCTTTATTTCCTTTAATTTCCAATCATTAAACAGAAGAAAAATTTAGAAGTACATAATCTCAGTTAGATCCATTATTATTAAATTCTTATTTTTTTCGTCTTTCTTAAATTAAAGGAATTTCTGTGAATTATTATATTCGAACTTGAAAATATTACAAACGCATTTTATTAGCATTTTTTTTTTTTTTTTGTGAATTAAGAGAAAAGAACAAAGGCGGTAATTATTTTCTTCAAATATCTGCGATCAAAGAATGGCTGGAAAGAATTAATTTTTTGCTTGTCGCACAATCTTACACGTTGACATAATTTTAATTTTACTAAGGAAAAAGGAGAGATAAAAAAAAAAAAAAACGAAAATCGAAGATGATATCGTCTATATCATTATTATTGAATTTTTTAAATAATTTATTAATTTTCTTTCTGTTTTTCCTTTTTTCAAATATTTAAAACTAAAATTTCATTTTTTTTTATTCTAATTTTATTTGCAAATTAAAAATTACTATCAGAAAAGAAAAAAAAATTATAATCAATCATTTTCTCCATTAGATTTCCACTATCGATTTTCTTTCCTGCTATTTTACTACTCATTCCTTCATCAATCTCTCGTATTCCTTTCATTCACTTTCGACACTTCCCATCCTTTCCTAACTTTTTTATCATTTATAAAAGCATCAACGAAGAAGAAAAAATTTTTTTTAAATTAATCATTGAATGAGTAAATACAGAATTGTCGTATTGACAAACCACATGGCAAAGGAAAAGAAAAGTGCGATTAAAGCGGTTTCCACCAAACAATCGAAAGATATCAAAATAGCAGTTCTCCCTTTTCACGAGACGAATCAGTCCCGGGAAACGATGGGCGGTGTGTATAAAAAGGGTAGCAACGTAATGAACATAAGCTGATCACTTACACTATCAATTACCGTAATTGACAGAAATGGCTACAGTACATCAATTATTTACAAGCTTGTTACAGTAGTATAATTATTTGTGCTGCTACAGTAATGTTAATCATCCATATTGCCAAGTAATATTAATTAATATATATGCATTATATATGCACACCAAGTATATACGCATTATTGTGTTTTGTAATATATAAGTGACACATCATAATGAAGTATAACATAATTAAAAAAGATTTGACAATATTGTGTTATCAAAGTTTTTTATGTTTTAATTCTGATTAAACTATTATTTCTTAACTATATATAGCAAAATGGCAAGCTTTCTTACTTTGCATATTCATATTTATCATCTGTTAATTAATTAGTCATTTTCCAATAAACCAAGCTAATTTACACAATAAAACGGCAAACCTGATAAACGGTACCATTACGGGCAATTGTCGGTAGATTACGAGAGATACCGCTATTCCCACGCTCTGTTCCATTATTTTGCCAGGCATGACGATCTAATGATATTTGTTCGAAACATGTCTCTAAAATAAGGACAAGTGAAAATATTCAATTGGCAATGAAATAAAAATATAATTTAAAATTAAATTTTTAAATCATATTTTAAATCTTACCAGCCTGATGTCATTGTTGCTTGTGTAAATTTATTAAACTTAGCAAAAAATTGATAGAAATTTTAAAGAACAATGATATTTTTGAAATTTCATGTATCGCAATTAAATATGAATAAAAATTTTATGATTTCATTTGACAAATGATAATAAATAAAAAGTAATCGTATTGAAATTACTTTAATTAAAATTTCATTTCGAATACAATAATTTGGTGTAATTTTTTGTAACTTCCATATTGCATTTTCGATTATGAATCATTTTTAGTGGAATGCAAATTAAATTTATCATAACTTTTTTTTTTTAATTTTTTATCATAAATAACACACTCATTCGAATTAAATAATTAAAATATTCACTGCAGATTTGAAACATCATTTGAAAAATGATTTGAAAAGAAATTGACTGTCTTGAAATTTTATAAGCAGTTTTTAGAATAAATTTATTCATCTAGTTAAAATTTCAGCAATGTTTTTCATACCTTCAACTTAATTCATTACCAAAATCATTAATTAATGAATAATAAAAATTATTTCATTCAAAAATTAGTAATTTTCTAGAAAAGAGTAAAAAAAAAAGGAATGATTACATGAAATCATTCATAATGTTTAAGACAAAATGAAATAATACGAAATTTGGGAAAATAATAGACAAATTCTACTTGGTTCGAAAATTTTCCAGTTATGTTGATGAATAATCTTAAAAATTTGAATAATCAATTTAAAATTTCAAGTGTTCTTCAAAGATTCAAAAAATTTACCCTCACTGTAAATATTTGTTTCTTCTGGAATAGTATCTAAAAAATTTTGGTTGAAAATCCATGAGTTAAATCCATACGAGTTTAAGATAGCAGTATAAGTAGGAGTAGTACTAGTGATAGTAGTAGTGGTGTTGACAGTGGCGACAATGATAGTAGCCATTGCTTTTGCTATTTAAAATAAAAAATTTTTGAAAATTTTATTTTTAACATATTGTTGAAGTAATTGTCTAATTAATTGTAAATATGTATTAAAAAAGTAAAGAGTTATCGAAAAACATAATCGAAATGACATAAGAATGATAAGTTTAATTAGTTGTAACTACTTAATCCATCGAAATTCATATTCTTTTTCCTTTCTTCCTCGCAATTAAAAAAGTCAAAATTTTATTTTTTTTCTGTTAATTGAAAAATAGAATGAAAAGATATTTTTGCATAAAATATTTGTTTATTTTTTTGGGTTTGAATTTTTATAAGTAACAAAAAACGATGTCATTTCGAGAGGTAAAATTTTTCTTAATAAGATAGGAAAGTAAGTTTTTGGTGATAAGGAAAAGCTAATGATAACTAATTGGAGATTATATATTATCAGTCTTATTGTCTGACATTTTCTTCCGGTTTTTTTGTTTTATATTAAACTGGTAAACCAAGTCTTTGGGTTGTTAACCATAAGTAAAGGAAAAGGTATCGCGAGTTTTCAATGATTATTGATTTACTTGACAGATCAAAGCCAAATAATGACAAAAACAAAGAAGTAGGTGATACAGGTAATATCAAGAATGAAATGTATCATCTAGAAGGGACATAACTGTCCCCAACAACCATATTACTACTACTGCTGCTCGGTTGTAGGTGACGCAGTACTCTAAATGACCATAATAATGCTATTACCAATGTCATTACTGTTACCATTACTAATACTAACATTGCTACAACAACAATTATTACTACTACTCCTACAACAACAACTATTACTACTACTGCTACAACAACAACTATTACTACTACTGCTACAACAACAACTATTACTACTACTGCTACAACAACAATTATTACTAATAATGCTACAACAACAATTATTACTACTAATGCTACAACAACAACTATTACTACTACTGCTACAACAATAAGAGCTACCACTGTTACTACTACTAATTTAAAGGCATGCATGCAATAAATCCGAAAAAATCATTTCATTCTACTACACTAATTAATAATTTGTTCCAAAGAAAAATTTTTGAAAAAAGTCATAAAGTGTGAATTTTTCCTTAACGTTTCGAATGCTTCAAAGTTAATTGATCACAAATTAATTAATCACGATGTAATAGCAGAGAGAAAGAATAGTAACAATAATAATAATAATAATTATTATTATTATTATTATATGATAAAGTAATAAAGGAATAATTTATTCAAATATTTAATTGATTTGAATAAAGAATAGTTATTCTTTAATCAGTATTTTTAAAGCAAAATGAAGAAATAGTTAATTTTCCATAAATGAATAATTTGATGATCTACTGAATAATTTAAAACTTATCACATGATAAAACTAAAAAAGAATATATCATAAAAGTTTCGACGCATCATTTGAAATAATCCAATTAGTGCAATTAATTCAATTACTCCAATTAGTTGTACTAATTGGATTACTGCTGCATATTTCGCCAATTCCAATAGCAAACTGAACTATTTGGTATTTGATTGTGAAACTAAATTGCTATATTCTTAGAAGAAAATTCAGTTACGAATTGATCTGGCTCTAGATTCGTAGTAAAGGATAAAAATTAATCAAATTAAAATTTCGCCACAGTCATGCCCAATGAAAATAATTCCAATATGAATAAAATCAATTATACTTTTAAACTAAATTTGATTCAATATTATAAGTTTACTTTGACAAAATTCAATGCGGTTAAGTCTTAAAGAATTTGATCGCAATTCCATCAACTGATAAAGTACGACTTCAAACATAAATCCTCTTACTAAATTTATTAGAATTTAGAAAAAAGACAATGATATAGAATATTTATCATAATAACGTGTAAAAAATTATAATTATTACTGGAAAACCAAATTATCAGGTATTGCATTTGTATATGACGGTGGTATGCATATCAAGAAAACAAATCGGTAAAAAAAAATTAAAAATTCCAAAATGATTTTATTTTATGCAAATAATGTAGTAAATGTATGAGAAAAAAGTCCAAATAATAAAAAACACATCCAATTAATAAATAGTTTACGACAATAGTAACTTAGATAAATAATTACTAAATAAATTTTATTCTCTCTTACTGTCATCTCTTTTTCATGAAATTTTCATTTTTGTGGAAATTTTACAACGTATGTCCTTTTTTTTTTTTGTTTTTTTATCTAGATTTTGATTAAAAATGATAACAAATAATGAAACATATTGAAAATAGTAGAGGTAAAGAAGAAGAAATTACCTGATGGTATCGCAGCAGTTCGCATATAGTAATAACAATTTAAATCGATGATATATGAGGAAGAGTTAGCTACTGTATACATTGAAAGTATACCAGACAAACTAGAAATATAAGTTTACAAACTGTTAAATTATTTCTATTCAATTTACCTAAATACATAAATAATTCTAAATTATGTGACACGAATACAGTAATCCCAATTTTTTCGACATTACAGTATCCGGTTTAGCTATCTACTTACCTATCACGTCATGCGAACACATTAAAAGAATATAGTAGTATTCAAGTAATACAATAATTTTAACTTTCTCATCTCCATTGAAAAAATTTTCATTTATTTGAAAAAGAAAGGAAAAAAAAAGAAGAAAAATCCGTTCTCAACAAACACATAAATAAAAATTTACTCTAATCACTAATTAAATCAATAACTAATTTATTAATTTAAACAAAATTAATCATTAATTAATTTGAATAAAGAAAATTTCTTCTCAACAATTAACCAATTAAACTGCTTAATTAATCAATGATAAATTTATTAAAATTAGAAAAATAAAAACAAAAAAGAGAGGAACGAAAAAAATGATCTAACCTGTGGAATGAAAAAGAAAATTGAAATTGTTGAAAGAAATTAACATATCAGAAAAGTTTCAAGTGTCGAATCAATTTGCTCATTCGAATATATACGAAAGAAATGAAATAATAATGAATGGATTTATCATATAACCAATCTTATTTCGTTGTCGGAAATAATTTCCATTATTTTCCAATTATTTTACATTTTCAATCATTGTGTGGATTGAATTTTTGAAATGAAACAAAATGAAATAATATTAATAATAACTTATTTCAGAAAATTTTAATATCAATCATATCAACGAAACATTTATATCATATAAAACGGCAGACAGACAGACGAACAGAATTTTTTTATTAGCCTATTTAAAAGATTGATCGAATGAACTCAAACGATTAAATCACTAATTCACAAAAAAAAAGAAAGAAAAAATGAAACCAAATATAGCCGGAAATGATTTTCAAAAAAGAAAGGAAAAAGAAAAAAAGATAAGTGTGAAATTCGAATAAAAATTTTTTTTATACGCAGGAAAAAATTGAATAAATCCGTAAAAAGAGCAAGTTGAAAATTTTTAAAATATTCAAAGTTAAAAAAAAAAGAAACGGAAAAGAGAAATTTATAAAAAAATCTATATTTGCAAAAATCTTTGAGTTAAGACAAAATGGAAAAAACAAATTTCTAGTGTGAAAAAAACGAATGAATAAAATTAAAAATTCTTCTTTTCATTTTTTCTTTTTAGAATTATAGTGTTCGTATTTTTTAAATAAATAGTTGTTTATCTCCTCTAGTTATGTACACATTTAATCTAATCTAGTCTAATCCTTCCAGTACTTTCGATATTTCATTCATTTCATTTGATCTGAAATATTTTTGAAACTTCTTCCTTTTTTTAAATTTTTTTCTGAAGCAAAAATGTTATTAAAGAAAAATAAATAGCAAAAAGAATAGAAGTAAAAAGCAAAAAAAAAAAAAAAAAAAAAAAAAAAAAAGATGAAACGAGAAAGAAACAAAATTTCAAAATGATCAATTATGAAAATTGAATATTATAAAAATGAAAATTATTTATTATTATTTCTCTGCTTTCTTTTTTTTTTTTTTTCAAATGAATGAAAAATATTTCATAAGTCGAATT